TCGGCCGCATAATTTATATTGTTTAAAGTACTTGATAATATAAATTATGCGGCCGACTTATCGAGTTTTACTGTGTACCACATTGTTTTCAGCCAAATAAATTAAAATATTGTTCAGTTATCAACAACTATAAAACCCCTTTCCCCCCGCGCTCACGTCTCCAACCCTGTCACCGTCAAAGTAAGAGTTGAGGGGAATCGTACACAAACCCAAATTCACATTGCATGTGATCAGCTTGAACAGGGGTTTGCCAAGAAAACTAAAATTATCTGACCAATTATTGAAAGAGCACAAATTCTTTATATATACTTGTTAGCGTCATCGCGATTGCAAAAATTGCTTACGAAAAGAAGAAAGCAATAATTCTCTATTTTCGAGAAACATACACGTACAAAAAAAATGTATTCGATATTTTTATCAACACTCTTCATAACGGCACTGTTCATACTTCCATCTCCTTCCGCAGCGCAAGTACCTGGACAATGGCCAACTCCTGATCAAGTTCCTACGATGCAACCGCAGTGGGCTTCATTGATTAACCCTTCAAGCGTACCAAACGCTCCCGTACAAACAAAGGCCGCAGGCGATTGTAGTCAAACAAGTACTTATTGCAACTGGTCATGTAACCATTGTCAGAGACCAAACGATGTTATAATTTGTCCTGCGCAAAAAGGTATGAATTGTGATTGGATTACATAATAAGGGCACAGTAAAAATCAAATTGTTGCATGTTAACCGGGCTCAACTCTAATAATTTAGATTGGGGTCTAACCTATGATGACGGGCCATCAATATACACGCCGGCGCTTCTCGATTATCTTAAATTAAATAACATTAAAGCCACTTTCTTTGTCATTGGTTCGCGTGTCCTTGAACGTCCAGACGTTCTCAGACGGACAATTGCGGAAGGACATCAATTAGGCATACACACATGGTCACATCCTTACCTTACTACTTTAACAAATAATCAAATTATTGCTGAACTAAAATGGACAGAGACCATAATCAAAACCGTTGCTGGAGTTACGCCCATATACATGAGACCACCTTATGGAGACGTCGATGATAGAGTGAGAAGTATCGCAACTCAAATGGGATACAAAGTCGTCATATGGGATGTGGACACAACCGATTGGCTGTCGAATGGTAATCCCACGTATAACCCAAACACAATTACCAACATTGTCCAAAATTACGCTAATCAGAAATCATCAACTGGACATATTTCGCTCGAACACGATTTATTCCCGGTAGCCGCTGCAGCTGCTCCCAAAGCCCTTGATATTATTTTACAAGCTGGATTTGCCGCCAAGCCAGTTGGCACATGTGTAGGAACAAAGTTTTATGTGGAAGATGGCGGTTCGATAACGACTGCTCAATCCAGTAGTGCAACTACAAGTACAACTACAAGTACAAGTACAAGTACAAGTACAACCACGTCTGTAGTTTCGTCTGTAACACCAAATGGCGTAACTACTTCAAATACGAATGCAACAGGAACATCTGTTGATGTGCCAAGTGCGACAAATTCGTCTCAGATATCAAATGCATCACATTGTCTATCGTCATTTGCATTATTTGTTGTGTCAGCATTTTGTATAATGTTTTTGGGCCCGATAATATAAATTTTCTGTAATATTACCTTTTTTTTTCTTTTGCTGTATTTTTTTTTGTGTAGTAAGTTGTTGGTTTTTTAGAGTATAACGTATAGAATAGTATTCACAATATATATATTTTATTCATTTTGTAGTGTATGTTGTCTTTTTCCCTATCTAAAGCATCAAACCCCGACCCCGCACAGTCTGAACTAAAAATAACGTTTTATTTGTCGATCGTGGTGCATATTAATTATGCGTAGTCCCACCGCAAATGCATGACTTCTAACTTAGGATAGTTATTTTGGGGATACCTAGCGAATCAGTTTATCAACTCCTGAAGGAGTCATGTGACATACAGCTCTAAATAGAACAGATGTCGGAATATGCCAAGCGAAAAATTGTTCAGATCCCAAGCCACAAACATTCGTACTGCTATTCCAGTATTCTATCCTTGTAGACTGTTAATTGGCCTTCGCTCAATATTGTCATACGTGACATGTAATTAACTTTGATTCTATACTTAAACCTGATACTAATACCGCATAATTAAAACAAATTATGTTCATAGCCAAAATGGAATAGAAACGGCAACTCGGATATCGACCAGCCAAGTACGCTTACATTAAATTTCATCTTTCGGAAGCGTTTTGTAACTAGTATACGTTGCCATGCGCACTGTTATTTAAGCAATTAATCAATAATTATCCGTAGTTAATTAATACAAATTTGCAACACGTTTTACAGAGTGTTTGGACCCGCTCTAGAATTTGGCCCGTTTTTGGGACTGTCACTATTTGCTTTTATCTTATCACGTAAAATATATTTGTGTTGACATCATCCAAACGTGCATAGGATTATTGTAATGTTATCGTCCGAATCCCAGAACAGACCGCCAAGATCCCTTATCACATGCATACTAGGCTACTTTTCGCACAGGCAGGGTATGTAATATGGAGCAAAATCATATGATGGCAACGGTAATTCCCGTAAATGAGAAAAGAATTTATTTACCTGTATTAGCTATTCGAATACATACGTAATATCAATATGTAGTAATTTCTAATACTCTTTCAAACAAAAGCGACTTGACTACCGGTATCTTCACCCACATAAAATTACGGATGACCATATCATAAGTGGTTCCATAATTCGTCGTAGGATGTCTCATTAGATTCGGCAAATATTTCTGACGGGCAATCATAAACGTCTCGTAATTAAAATCCTTTGTACGGTGATTATGTGGTGTGTTTCATGATGCGTTTGTTATTTACAATTACGAATGCTGGCAGAATGTCAATCCAACAATAACCCCGGTTTGGAAACCTCATCCCAAAGCGTATCAACCGAGCGTTTGATAATTTCTTATTAACCCTCGAGTGGTTCGCGTGTTTAGTGACAAATTCAGACACATTGTCTGGTTGAATTTTTGGTCAAACATATTTTGAGAATATGTCAACAATTCTCAGTACATAACTGTGGGGTCAGTAAAGGAAAGGAGATCGATCAAGTCCATCTGGATGACCACTAGGGTAGTAATAACAGGTGTTATGTTTTTCCTTAATGGTTTATCTCAGTTACAAGTAGAGCAATTTCGTACGAGTATCTTAACTTTGGACGCTCTCAACAATTTTGATGTCCACTCAAATTTGGAAATGAACAAGAAGTAGGGACATCAATTCTCAACATTTTTTCTAAATAAAGGGGAAGGCTAAAGCGGAGCAGAACGTGATCCGCATTTACAGTTTTATTGGCTGCCATACAAATTTGACCAATGAAATCGCGAGAGATCTGCTCCGCTTTAGACATGTTCTTAATATTAATAAAGTAACATTGTATTTAGTCAGGTTAAGTAAAAAGTAACAATTTCCGATTTAGTCATGCCCCTTCAGTGGGGAAATCAAATTAATGTCGCCCAGATGCCTCTACCTCTTTATGGCATTAATTTCCTTTATTATAATGTAGTGGAAATAAGATAAGACTGGCACTTATAGATAATATTAATATGCATTTGTGGAGAGGTCAACCTTATATCTAATATTATTAAACCTTTTAATTTTCAGTAATTTGACCAACAAGGTTGGTGTAAAGTAAGCGAATTGTGACAGACACAAAAGAAGATAGTATTAGTATAATCAACTATACTCGCGGTATTTACAGAGGTTATCTACCTTAATAAATCTTGTTGTGACTACATGTTTTGTAGATAATTCATAAACCACCAAAAGTGAAAATCGTTTACTACTATGCATAAACGAAAGGGGAAAAGATATCTGGTTTAGAGAGTCACCTGATTAGCATACGAATTACATTTGTTTCCCCAACATAAAAAGAGGCAAATAATGATAACTATTCTGTGCAAGATAAAGAGCATGCATCCATTAAACTTTCTGTCATCCAAAGTGTTCAGCAGCCATACAATAATATTTTTAAACACCATTCTGCAATGTAAAAGGCTTTTGCATTTCTCTATAGTAATTGCAGGTATTCTGCTAACTACCATGTTTACCATGCTTGCAATGAACAATTACTGAGAGCACATATTAATATTAAGCTAAAATTTTACACATAAATTAATAAAAACATGCTACAGTAGAATTAATCAGGTTTGAGACAATTGTACAACATATTGCTTTAGATTTATACAACAAAATGTCATTTACCAATTAATTTAGAAAATAGAATAAAAGCCTCAATTATCTTGTAGATTAGTAATATGTTGTATTAGGAAACATTACGGCATATAGTTTTGTATTTGTGCTGTGTATGTGTTTTAGTGCTTATGTAGAGGAGAGTAGATAGAGTAATAATAAACAGTCCTGAAGCATATTGTCTGTGTGTAAAGTTTGGTTTTGCATTCCAACTACTTTATTATAATAAAATTTATGCTGGCATGTTTAATATTGTCATTATAATTATGGTATTAGTATATGCAGTATATTATGGTAAACACTTCCCAAAGCTGCTAGCGAGCTTGCACAGGATGCTCTTGAGGGCATTATCAAAGAAATATGCAAGTATTGCATGATAAAGAGTTAGTGTTTGGAGACCTCTGTCCAAACAACATTATGATTTAAAAATTAATAATGTGCAGCATGTGAAGCTAGTGAAACTCCGACAGAGAACATCAGGTTTGACCCATTTGTATATGTTAATATTTTCAAATACGGTTAGGTCAAAAAAACTGTTGAGACTAATGGTATAAATTTACAGAATATTAAACTATATATAAGATTACCCGTATACGGAAAATCATAATTAATGGTTTGATGAATATGAAAACCAAGGTGCTTCTCGGAGATAGGTTGCAATTGTGGATGTTCAAAAAAAAATCCGAGAGAAAAGTTTGCCAAATTACGCGAGATGTTTCAAGCTCTCTCTAGGTGTGAACAAGATATATTTAACCACCCAACTAAAAGCGATGAATGGTGGAGAAATAACCGCTAGTCGACGTCTTGAAAGAAAACGCGTACTAATAAGAGAACTTTTATTACTGAGATCGAATACGCCACTTGACAAAAAACGTATTTCAGTATGTTAGAAATTGATCGTGCTCACTTCAAAAAAGTCAGAAATTACTAGCAACAATGGCATAATATACCGCGCATTCATGCAATCCGGGTTATTAGAATTTTGACAAGAATCGTCAGCAAGAACGTACAGTATTAATTAAATGAGTTGGAAACCCTTACAAACTATTGAAACGGAAGGCTTCTCAAAGTTGACGATGTGTATAAAGCTAAATATAGAAATGCTCACTTGTATCAATAAGAGATGTATCGATATAGATTGTGCCTGTATGTGTCTTGAATTTAAACATTATATATATCAGTGATATTGGTTATTGATAATATGTACCAAATCATTTTAGCAGCCTTGTTTCATCAGTAGATTACATTACCATTGCGTAATAGCGTTGTAGTAGATTTAAATGCAATCGACGCATTGTATACGTCAGGCTTTTTAGAAAATCAAATCTTAACACTAAAGTCAGGTAAAATTTTTGTCGCGTACCTGTATAATATTACATTAGACAAGATAATCTAATATAGCAAGAGACTTTCTTAATCGAAGAGTACAGCATCATCCTCGAATAAAGTTCATGCTGTTACGTTTCAAATTTTAAATGGTTATGCTTTATTATGACAGTTAATGACTGCACGGTATTTACGAGCACTGTTTCGAAATTATTTGCATTAAGAAAAGTAGCTAATAATGAATCATGACTGTGACATAGTGATGAAGAATAAATCGCATAGCAAATACGGCGTTGACTATTAAAGTCAAAGCAGATAAAAAGAAATTACTGGTAACGCTTGGCTGTATAAGGAGTCTATCTATACGACGTCATAATGAAGCAATTATATTAGAGTTAGCAGGATAAACAAAGGTACAAAGCTACAAAGCTACACAAACTTGCCTCCTGAAGTTTTCGTCATATAAATGTTAATGGTCACACACAAACCAGGCAGGTTACTAAAAGGTACTATGTATTAGTACGATTATGCCTAGAATTCATGCTTGTTCATGTTCAGAGAAACTACACTTATTTCGAGCTAATAGTGGCGGGAAAACGCTCTCAGAATTTTTGCATACAAATGGGCCAGCAAACTTTTTATTTGTGATCGATTGGGTAGATGTTGATCTGCATGCCAAGCCCAGCTGTATGTCATAGATGACGATCAGGAACAATGTATTTGCCACCAATGGATTTCCGAGCAAAGAATGATTAGCCAACAAGTGGTCTAACTCTAAATGTAGGTTGCCAAGATTTACGGTATCATGAAACTCCACAGGGACAATTAATTCCACAGGCACATCAGCGGTCATGGGCGATTTTTGCATTTGAGTTACGGTTTTAAAGCCGATTTGCTAATATGTAAATTCCATCTTGGGTTTCAACGCTGTTATCAATGTTGGATGACTTGTTCGATACAATACCCGAACCTATCAATTGTCTCTACAATAGTACATTAAAAGGACGTTAACTCAATCGGGTACCTCAACTATTCTCGAGTGCGGTATATTTTGATCCGATTAGAAAATTGTTGTAGTGAACGTTCAAAATAAAAATCGTATCGTATCGCTTTGATGAGAATTTTTCCTCAATGCGAATCGTTCACCCGCTTTATATGTTTCAGTGATTTCACGCAGTCGTACATGCTTTTTTTAAAAATCATATTAAGCAATTACATAAGCTTACAGGTTTTCGTTCTGCAAGCGATGTTTTGTCGTAAAAAGTGAATAATAAATATATACCAAATAGAACGTCTTGGTAATCAAGTATGTATTTTTTTTTTACCTTCATGCTCTAATCCGGTCTAAAGCCTTAATGATTCGTTCCCCGATAATGAAGTCTTTGTTCCGGGAATCGACAGATTCTCTTAATTTTTTGATTGAGTAGAGACTCTGGTAGTAGTACCCAACCATGATACAATTCAATTACTCTATCAAAAGACTCTAAACCTCGCCAGTAAATGTTGAAATGACCAGTATAATTAACTTCATAATTAAGGTGTGTGCGGGTATAATTACCATATAAAAATTTGTATTGTCTACAGTAAAGTGCAAAAATCCTCCTGTATGTAAGAACTGATTGTGCCGGAAACCTTATTGGTGTCACAATAACTAGCCGTTTAGAGCAATCTCAAACAGGTCCACGCCTATTATATGTATACATATACATATACATAATGTATTTGTACTCCATAAATAGAACTAGTCTATATAAATACACCTCAGTAACTTCCCCTCACCGTGCTAACATTTGCTTGCCACTTTACTTTCGTCATTACTCCTCATTGTGCAAATTGATTTTGTACAGTTCTGAGGAGTATTTTCCATTCCATTTAAAAAACCCCCCTCCACTCTCCGCCCCCACCTCAAATCAGACGCAAACATTCATTTCTTTCTCCCCCGATCTCATTAGTATAATAACATAGTCAAAAACCTCAATTTATTACTTATTCCATTCATAAATTTCATAATGCATTTAACATCTTTATCAGCTCTCTTCACAACAATACTTTTTGCATTTCTATCCCTTTCCGAGGCAGCGCTGCCAGGAACGTGGCCACTTCTTGATAAACCTCCTCCTATGAAACCAGAGTGGGCTTCTTTGGTTAACATACAGCAACTACCAAAAGCTCCCATACAAACCACTCTGGCTGGGAATTGTTCGCAGGCTGCACAATTCTGTATATGGTCATGCAATACTTGTACGCGAAGCGCATCGGATATCGTAACTTGTCCAGGAACCAAAGGTATGAGAAAGTCACTATACAGAAATAAGGAATAATTCAGAGAGCTTGATCAAGTGTGAATTAAGTAGAGATTATACAATGTTTCGAGCAAAGGAAGAAAAAAAAGAGATTTTGGATGAGGGGATTTGCGTTTGATAATATGTGGTACAAGAATTTTATTATTCATACTCAAATTCGTCAACGATTTTCCGTAGAATGGGGGATCAGCTATGATGATGGTCCATCACCTTACACACCAGCACTTCTCGATTTTTTAAAGCAAACCAACACTAAAGTCACCTTTGCCGTCATTGGTTCGCGTGTCGTCGAACGTCCTGAGGTCCTCCAACGTATCAAGGACGAAGGACACGAAATAGTGATACACACGTGGTCACATCCGTCACTTACTACTGTATCGACACAACAAATCATTGCCGAGCTTAAATGGACCGAGTTGGCGATTCAAACCGCCGTCGGGTTGACTCCCAAGATAATGAGACCTCCGTTCGGTGACATAGATGATAGAGTAAGATCTATAGCAACTCAGTTGGGTTATAAAATTCTATTGTGGGATCGTGACACTTTCGATTGGAAATCGGCCAGTGATCCTAGTTTCCAGCCCTCTTGGATTCCGGGCAATTTCACGCAATGGGTAACTGACGGGAATAGTCACATTTCGCTTGAACATGATTTATATCCAATAGGTGCTCAAAATGCTCCTGCAGCCATAAAAATTGTTCGAAATGCTGGATACACCATAAAGCCCGTGTCTGTGTGTACTGGAATGCCAGCATACGTTCAGAACGTTCAACTTGTTGCAAGCGGACCGGCGCCGCCTAACACTACTGCTAATGGTACAGATGGTACCGCCAATACGGCTTCAACGAATGACACATCTAACAATTCGTCGAGTTCATCGGCTTTTGGTTCTCACCATTTGTTATCATCTGTATTATTATTGATTGTAATTTCTATGGCTATTTCCACTTTATGATAAAAGTAAAACATATTACGGTTTGGGGAGGGGAGAGGTGGTGGTTTGCCTGTGGGGTTTGCGGTAGAAATTTCACAATTTATTAGAATTGTCATTATCAACTTTACGACTTTGTTTAGTGATATTATAATTTGATCCTGATCGCCTTGATTGTCAGTAGTAGTGTACATAATAAAGGCATCAAGAGAAAAGGCTTGAGTATAGTGAGCTCTGACGGGTCGAATTTTTTTCAGAGTTCTTATTACAATTAATATCAAATATCAATATCTGTTTGATATATTAATATGTGATAATCTATTGTAAAAAAAAAATAATTCTTTGTCAAATCTAACAATCTGTGAAAAAGCCGATACTGTTACATTGAAGATACAATCAACGAGCGTACAAAATGCTCCATGTGTCTGTGCAAGTATGACAACGGTTGGGGAGTGGTACAATAAAGGCAAATGGAATAGTCGATACAATAAAACTATACTCTCGTTTAGCGTATTTACAAACCTGAAGCGTTGGAGCGTCTGATCAAAGGTTGATGTTTAAACCAACCTCCTCTGTAATGATTAAATTAATCTATAACCGGACATACGCGGTTAATGGCAAGACATTAATTTAACAAGATGAGAGTCTCCGTTAATTGTGTTTTGGAGTGTTGATCGCAAAAAGTAGTCACTTTATTATCGTTTTTTTTTTTCATTTATCGCTCAGCGCCCTACGATCAAATGGTTTTAAACCAAGGATAGAGCCATGTCCGAAACATCGAGCTGAGCTGCCGAGTATAATCTGACAAATCAAATATGTTTCAAAATTTGGTCTGTCATTCGTACAAGTATAAATAGCTAATGCTGTATCAGTTTCTGTGTCAACCTAGAGTTAGGAAAAATCGGTGAACATCGTACACGAAGATTTAATAACTTTTTAAAATGAATATACTTGGACACGTATAAAATAGGTCAAGTTGAAACGACAAGATTAATTGCAATCTAATGTGTTATGCCGCCGTAAATGTCTTTAATAAAATGCAAAACTTTAAAAGGAAACAATTTGCTGCTAGCGTGACAGTTTGAAAATTACCAGAACAAGATTGGCCAAGTCAACTAATTGTCTGCGATCCTATATTACCAATAAGACTAATATAGCATAAGTGGTATAACTACACCTCTCTGTTTGTAAAAGAAACACAACTCTGCTTAATTGAGCATGGATATGTTATTAAATTGTAATGCAATAGTTAATTGTCTAGGAGGACTCTTTCTATCGGTTCCATTATTGTAATACGTTTCTATTATACGCGCCAAACTCTTTTTAAAACGTGCGAGTACGCCGACAGTTAAATAATTGTTTATTTTTCAATTACGTTAAATACGATGTTGAAAATAATACTGTTTTCTTGTAATCGACCATGCCTGAAAACAGGCTGTTATCAAGGACATGCAACACTATATTGACAATATTCAGACAAAGAATTCTAATGTCAGTAAGAGGTTAAAGCGTGCCGTATAATTAATTATACACAAAATAATAATCGTTATTATTATGAGTATTGGTAAATAAATCAACAAGCAATTTGCCTTGTCTAATCTACTGTTAGCTGGTTCAACCGTCCATGTTGTTACAGACAACGACAATGTGATGCAGTAATTATAACAAACTAATCTCTAAGATGAGATTATGTGTTTTATTAGCAACTTTCATAACAAAACGGTTATAATTTCACATTCCGTATTAGTATGTTGACGATTGACGACAAAGCTACATCACGTGATTAAGTTTAACAATAACAATGAGAACTTGTCACCACCGATTAACGATTTTTGTTTTTTTGGCAATGGCCACACCAAGTCAACGACGAACCAAGGTATTCACCGGCTTTTCTCTGGCGAGAATCTGCTCCCAAGCTTAGTTTAACTAACATGGCTTTTGATCTATGAGCCAGGGTGTTACGATCGTACGTCCGATCGTGTATGGCAACGTAGCTAATCCATTACCACCGCGCAAGACTCAAGAGACAGATCATACGCATAAATGGACTGTTTCTGTTCGCGGAGTAAATGGAGAGGATATTAGCTATTATATTAAGAAAGTGGTGTTTAAATTGCACGAAACATACCAGAATCCACTGAGAAGTATGCAGTACTTTATCATATGCGAGATTAACATGTATCTATTGCTTGGGGGCTAACGCGATTCTTACCTTTTTTTTTTTAGCCGTGGAACAGCCGCCTTTTGAAATCACAGAGACAGGCTGGGGTGAATTTGAGCTAGCAATCAAATTACACTTTATTCCGGAAAGCAATGAAAAACCAGTCCCGCTTTATCACAATTTGAGACTCCATCCGTACGAAGAAGATGGTACCATTTTGAGCGCGAATAAGAACAAACCCGTATCAAGTTTTCAATATGATGAACTGGCGAGTGTCTAACGAAATAATAAAAGTCATATCTCAACAGTAGTTCTCTTTTTTTTTTTTTTTTTTTTTTTTTGCATAGTTTCTTGTTTCCCTTGCTCACTTGTTCTCTTGCGACAGGTGTTTACAGATCCAACAGAGGCCATGTATCAGATCTTGACTCAACATAATAGTAGTTCGACACTCCCGGCAAAAAATACGAATCAACCATACAGTAAGACTGCATACAAACATGCAACTTTATTATTCGAGTATAAACTTATATAATTCGTGCATCAATCACAGGTCTACAGGCTGAACAAGACGAACTGAAATTGATAGAACAGACGTATCGTAAAGTCCAAGAGCAGCTGCGACAATACAAGGAACGAATGGATACTGCTACCAATGAACTTCAACAGGTTAAATCCGAATTGGAACGTCTGAGAACAAAATGATTGTATATATACATAACAATTTTGGTGGAAAACGATACGTATTTGTATGTCTTATATACAAGCCTTGTCCCTCACTGCAATATATTCGCCCTTATCAAATCACCTGGACCCGTCGTTTCTTTTTACTTATTGTTGCAATACTTCAATATTTTACAAAAAAACAAGTGTGCAAAGTTCATCATATACAGTGTTAGCTAATGGTGTGTGTACGTTATCATACAAAGTTTAAGTGCAATACAAATAAGAAAATTACTTTCATAGACATAAATTAGTTTAAAAATGAAGCTTATAAAAAAACATATCTAAATAATAAAAAAGCTTATAATCAATTGTTCATAATAAACTTTACGCCACGATCAAAGAGTAGCGTTTGTTAAAAACGAAATATAAGTAATAGACAATATAGTTAATGGTAATAACATGGTAATAATTAGGTAAGTAATGAATTATAATATACTAAGGGAATTGCATCATTTCACGAGAGCTCGACCAGTTGCTGCTTTTTTATATCAATTTCTTGTCTCAATTCATCCAACGATGCCTTCAATGTCTGTACATCTTCAATCTTCCTCTTTCGCGTTGCCTTGGAGATGTATTCTTCAACAAGTTTTTCCTGTTCTTCGAGTACGCCCAACTGCTGTCTCAACTTTTCACCTTTGGCTGACTTTGTAGATCTAGTCGATTTGGAAGACGAAACAGATAGAGATCGATTACGTCGCGTGGCAATAGCAGCAAGAATATCACCGGCAGAGTCGGTCTCCTCATCGCCTTGCACTTTATTGATTGGCAAACTTTTCTGTTGCTGCTGTGCTTGTTGCTGTGGTTGCTGTGGTGAATGTTGGTCTTGCAGGTCTTTTTTGAATATCTTTGGTAACGCAGATAACGGCAGCATCACCTGTTGAAGATACTGATTAGCAGCAAGATATATATTAGAATGAAGGCGTCGTTGAGTTTCACTATTGGTAGCCAGTGAATTTATTTTCTTGCTAATTGCATCAAATTGAGTAAAGTATTCTAGGAGCTCTTTGCGCGTGCGAGCAGCAACTTGATAGTCTGCATGTGTCTGATTAACTATCTCTTGACTCCTGCAAACCGAAAAGAATTGATTGTAAGAAAGACATGTTATGAATAAATAACACGAATGAAAGAGCGTTCATCGACTCAACTTTAACATGACGAGCATTTCTTGGAATTTGGGTAATGTCTGATCGATGGCGCTTCGAACCTTGGTTAATTTCTACATAATCATAATCAAAATGTCAAAAAACAAATGATCGCATTTATACAAACATTTAACCACATTAAATAATCATTACCTGATAGAACATAACAATTTGGGGAGTTTTGGAGACTTCCTCAATGTATTCCCTTCGTCTACAAAATTGTCATTGTGCATAGTTGGAATTCGACTCATTATTCAGCAAACAACAGATCAGTTGTATAATACCTGAATACTGCATTTCGACATTCTTTGCAGACGCGTACTTGGCCAACAGTATCTTGTTCATCGTTTTCTATGACCGGCAAGCATTTAATATGTTATACATATTGCAAATTGTTGTAAAATAACATTAGACGCACCTGCATAATCGCTCGTATGTAGTGAGACTTTCGAAGAACATTTCTCGTCGATGATGCGTCCGCATAAACGACAGTGGTGCTTACGGTTCGTAATCTTTCCGAAAGGAGAACTATCAAGTCATTTCTTTTAGCATCTTGGTTCTTTAAATGCAAAATCGTGAGATTCTTGATGTTTTCCATCAACCTACTTGCACAAAGGACAGTGAGTTACTGAAGCGTCATCTTCCCATTTGACTATAGACTGCTCCGAAGCTGAAATTATCAAAATAGACATATAAACACGATTAACCACTACTAATACTAAAGGAGTATGCCATCAAGAATTACACGCCGCAAACAGTTCTATTAATCAATGTTATGATTCTCGCTAACACTCTATTGTGTTAAAAACTGTCTTGAGAAACAAACCTCTTCGACGGTGTTTTAGAGTAAGTGGTGGTGCCAATCCACCTTGTGCCGAGTTACCCGTCTTTATTTTCGTCGCGTAAACTTTTGCAAGCTATATTATGTTACATGTATCAATATTTTTATAAAAACCTGACACAGTGGTAACCAGAGCCAATCTACCTTTTCTAGCCGTTTCTCGAGCCTGTTTCCTTCAAGATGAGCTTTCTCAGTGCATAAAACGCGGTTCTGTTTGAACTCTTCGGTACGAGAGGACACGACGCCTTACATTGAAACAAACCGAAAGCGTTAGTCATGAAAACACATATTCTTCTGGTAAAATACTTTTCCCAGTTATTGTGTATACACTCTCCTCACAAATACCTTGATCATCCAAATAACCCTCTCGAGATTTGTAGCAGTTGTTGCAAACACGCGACCAGTAACCATTTACCGGATCATGCAATGCCTGGCGACTAAGCTTCATTTGTAAGTGACAGTGAGCCTCACAGAACAATTTCCCGCACCTACGTAAGAGACAAAATGACGGGCAAATCAGAGAGAGAATGACCAAAGCAATACCAAAAACATGAGTAAAGTGCATATAAAGGCACAACGCTGCATTCTCTATTCTTGATCAGACCACATACTTGCGACAATTGTATTTGCCATTTCTTAAATTCACAGTTTTCCCACAGTTAGAATGTGAACACTGATCGTTCTCACTCTCTCTTTGCCAATGACTTCTAGTCACTAGTTCAGAACCTTCGTCAAGTGCGTCTATTTCGCTCAGTTTGTTGATCACGGTTTGCGTCACAGTGTGAGATAACTGATTGGGCAGACTTGCAAGTTTTGCTTTTGATAGCGGCTTCATAATAGTACTTTGGGCATTCTTGAACCAATTTAAAATGACGTCCTTCTTTGCGTTAGATTCTTCGCTATGGACGTCATCCAAATGTTGATTAAGTTGAGCAAGAGAAATCATAGCTTCATTACAGATCGGACATTCAAGTTTAATTGAATCGTCATACAGCAGCGATTCCGGTTGGGAATTGCCACTAGGTAAAGAGTCCGAAGGGAACGAAGTATTAGGGTAAAAATAAGCTTCCTGTACAAAACTCATTTCGATAAGGAAAGAAAGAAATAAAGCTTTAGAAAGTAATATCAATAGTAGTTATTTAGGGAAGAAAAAAAAAAGAGGAATCACGACATTAAGGTATTACTAAAACGCACACGTACAACCCCTCTCAGAGTAACACCACCCGAATTTTGCGAAGTCATGTTACACGTGATGCCATCGTATTCAAATGCTCATACTCAATCAATTTAAATAACATTGTTAGTTGTTTATTATTATTATTATAGCCTTTGGCTGATTCAACAATATCAGATATGGCAGATATGGCAGACAAAGAGAACATGATATTACTAGTTACTGCATGACTAACACGTAGGAATGGCGAGAGCTTGCTACTCTCTCGAAAAGTACATCTAAAGTCTTTAAAAAAGCTAGAGATAATGTTTACGACATAGGTTCCCTCGTATGGATTCGACTTGGCCATTCCAGCCAATCTTCTTCTCTTCACTTGTTTGAAGCCTA